TTGGCATTTATAACCATTGGTGCATGGAAAGGACATAATTTGAATTATTATATATTAAACAGCTCAGAATAAAATCTCTTATCTGGGGATTTGAGTAAACATAATATTGACTGGTGGTCATAGCCAAAGTTTATGACCAATCAGAGTAAAGAAAACAAATCAACAATCAGAAGACTGCACAGTAAAGGAAGAATCATCAATTTGATGACAAACAATTTGGCAGATTTCAGCAATGCTGCAACTTTTGATGTAAACTATATATTGACAACTAGGTTTTAAGTAATATAATAAAAGATTGATTGACTTTCGCTTTCAGTCAATATGCAGTTTTGCATGTCTAACTCAGGAAAGTCAATATAATTGTGCAAAATCTAAGGAGTAAAACTGCATTCTTTGTATATGCAGTCAGAATGCCATGTTTTAAATACATATTTTCCTTTTTTCTACAAACGTAGGTCTACTAATCATCCACATTCCTGCTGTGCCTATGATGTATCTGCTATGGAAAATGGGACACTTATAACAGTTGGTGGTAGTGACACGTTGTACTACAGAAATGGTTTCTTTGATAGCTGGCACCTAACTTCTGAGGGTAAATAATTTATAGTGAAATATATGGAAAAAATGTGGTGGTGATTTTACATTCTCTAGTGATTTCATTACATGTGAGTATCATTGTTACATTGAAATTAAGTGTAGCATGATAAATGGAAACTGATTAATGTCATTTTAATATTAAATCAGTGCCTAATGTTGATGGAAAAGCTTGAGTATGTACTTTGTGGCACCGACCCAGGTATTGCTTTCATTGCAGTTTAATGCTCATACTAAAGTTGACTATCCAATAGACTCTGGTGCAAATCAAGTCCAATTATAAGTACATATCAATAAGTTGCTTTAGTGATAGCATGTTGCAAAAATAAAGTTTTCTGGTATTGTTTATAGCATGCTGTGTTAAAAAAGCAGCTGTCATGGCAGACGGGAGGATAATTGGGGCAGGCACAGACAACCAGCTGAAGGTTAAGCAGAGTTTGAATGACCCCTGGGTGACCATTCCTAGCTCCTGCTGTATCATAGACGTCGCAATCACACCAGATGGCACCATTGTTGGCCTGGGCACCAATCAGAATTTATACCTGCGCCAGAAGCTTGAGTTTCCATGGGTTCACGTCCCCAACTCTTGTTGTGTCACAGACATTGGTTCAAGTATGAGACAGAAAATATATAAGAATTTTTTAATGTCATCAAACTTTCATTTTATTCATATTTAGAGACCTTTTTCTAGAAGTTAAATTCTTAATAAGATTTTTGTTTTCTCATTCAGAATTTTTTACATATGTAAAAGTTACTTAAAAAAAGAAGTTATTAATTTTAACATTTTTTTTTAATTATCTGTTTGTTATTTGGGCAATTGTGATTGAACATTGCTTATGTCATGGCTTAAATGATTTTTATATCTATTTATCAATACATCTGTATGATTGCTTTTCCATCTTATTAATGAAATTATTTTTATGACAGTAGCATTCTAAATTGCATATTGTGCTTAATTTTCCAGAATTATTATCTCTGCCTGTGTTGGTTTGTTAGTTGCCCCACTCAATAAATTACAGGCAGATAATGTTAAAATTATCAGGATGGATCAAAAGTGGGTTAACTTAGAATCGATTAGATTTGGCGATGATCCATTAATTAATTGAATAATTAATGAGTATTGAGCTGCCATGTCAGAGGTCTGAGCTCTCTGAGAGCTTTTCTAGTTTTCAGTATTTTCAGTATTTTGACATATGTAATGATATATGTCCTTTGACTACTCTCAGATGCATTTGGGCACCGTTTTGATATCACCAGCAGTTATTTGGATGGGACAATATCAGAGTCCTCCCACTGCTGCACAAACAACCTAGCTGCTGACTGCGGGACGGAGAATGGAGAGTAAGTGTATATGTCTGTGGGTCTTAAATTGGCTTTGACAGCATGCCATTCTGTTTGATGTTTAGAATTTTGCATGGAATATGAGATGTCAGCTTCTGCACAGCAAGGGTAGGCTGAATAGGTCTGAATAGCTGTGTTAGGCAGAGCCATCTCCATCATACTAAAAGAAGAACTTTTGTTAAATTTAGGTGGTGTTTTCTTGTAACATATTACAAAAAGTCAAAAAGTTTTTGTTCCTTTTTTTAGGCTATTCACAAGTTATGGATCAACTATTGCTTGGTGTTCAAGCTCTAATGATGAATCTCAGTACCTTCAGGTTGATTTGGATGACATTTACCTGGTCTCTAGGGTTGCTGTTCAAGTAGGTGAAGTCAAACATAACTGATTAAATGGTTAATGAACTGGAAGGACCCAAATTTTTGGCACCTATTTTTCCTTCGAATGGAAAAAATCAATTTGGTATTGGTTTGGTAAATGGAAGAACTTTACTGAAACTAGAAAAAGAACTGAATACTGTTGTTTTTATGCTCTAAAATTGCAAAACAGTGGATTTGACATTTGCACCCTCTCTAGTTGAAAATCAAAAATTCACCAAGCTAACCTGAAATATATTTGTTATGCTTGTAAAAGATCTTATCTTTAAAAAAACATATCTACTATTTACTGAGGGTTGTTGCTCGTTAACCAAATAATCAACTTTGTCTGGCCTTAGTTGCAAGTGAATCATAAAAAGCTTAAGAAGCAATCAAATATATATATAACCAAACAAACAACCAATGAAACAGAATAAATCAAAAGTCAGAGTTCATTTTCCATGACACCATATATTCCCTCCATGTATTATAATGGCATTTTTCTCTTTTTTTTCAAAGTTTTCTTGATTTTCAGTACAGTTGTTGTCATTACAACTCTGATGACATTGTTTACCAATGGAGAAGGACTACAAAATGCTGTATTAAAAAGGCTGAATTTGTATGAATTCTATTGATAGATGTATAAACATTTGTACATTTGTTATAATGTACAAGAATATATATTTGTTCTATAGGTTTTTTTCCTAAAGAAATTTCTTTTCAAAATATTATTCTGCATGACACATGTACAGTTTCTATATCTTTCAGGGACGGTATAATAGCAATCAGATGGCAAAAACTTACCAAGTGTTTTATTCTACTGATGGGACACATTTTGATTGTTATAGAGAGGATGTAAACTCTCACTGTATGGTAAGGTGTATAAAGATTCCTATTACTCATTCCCAATAGAATTATTGTTCTACATTGATCAATCCAAATCTGCGGGGACTTGCTGAATGCAATCAGATTAATGTCTGATAGAATACAGAAAATCTTGTGAAGAGGCATGTAAATCTGTTAATCTGAGTGCATTCAGCTGGAGTACCCCCGGATGGGTCAATCTACGATGAATGATAGTTTCTTTTGGAATGAGTAAAAGTATTAAATTGATAAATGTTTTGAGTATTTGTCTTCTTTCTTAAATAAATCATAGGTTTCGTTCACATTTCATTACTTCATATATATTATTTATATAACTAGATAGGCTTTGTATCCTTGGATCTTTTGGGGGTCAAAGAAGCAAGAAAATAGCTCTGTGTGTTTTTGTCCCATTCATTTATTCACACACATTGTTGGTGGTACCCACCCCAAAAGATGGCTGACACTTCTGAACGTCTACTTTTTTCTCTACATACGAATTTTGGAAGTTCTAAGAAATGAATTATTCAGTTGTTTGCCTTGTTAAATAAAATAAAACAGTGGCGTTTTATATATAAAAATGTTTTATATACACAAAATCATCCTTATCAAATTTAATGTAAGCCTATTTTAATATATGAAACTTTCTATAATTGCTTTATTACAGACCATTCAACATGTCAAGATCCATTCTGTTTACTGAAAGTTTTTTACTTCCAGATGTTTTCTGCCAACCAAAATAGTTATGCCCATGTCCCTGTAGTTCAGTCATTTAACCACTCCGTGTATGCTAAACACATACGATTTAGATTCTGGTCTTGGGTAAACCATTTATCGGCTAAAGTAGGAGCTTTTGGCTATAAACCAAGTAAGTTCCTCTGTTGAAAGCAAATAAAAAAATATGTCTGTTTAGTGAATAGTTTTTTTTTCTGTTGGTTCTCTCTCACATACCAGATCTGGTATCTGCTGTTATATTTATGAGGAAAAGAGTATTAGTTTTTGATCTTGCATAGTCTGACAAAAGATTTAGTAATAAGCAAATTGCATTACTGTTTGTGCTGTCCTTCACATGAAAAACCATGACAATTAGAATATAAGTCTCCATCTCCCAAATGATTAGAACTACAAGTGGATATATATGAAAATAAACACTTTTCCAGGCCGTTTCCTTCCTCACCAGAATTTAACCAATGCAGGTATCACAGGCACTTGTAGTTATAAGCGTAGTAATGGTGACATTGTCATGGTGCTGGCCCAGGAACACGATGCTTGGTATAACACAGAAGTGGATACATACGGCTATGTCTATGTGTGGAACAAGGAGATGAAGATGTTCCTGAGCACGGCAGCACTTCCGGTATGTCGTTTACATTTTGAATATTCATGTCTTTGATTCAGAAAATGTATGTTTCAATTTTAGGTTTGGAGCAAATAGAAAATAATTGACAATTAAATCAGTACATCAAAAAAAAATGGTTAGCAATGAGTTCAAAGTCCAAAACTTTTCTTGAAATAAAGTTGGAATCAAATATCACTTAAAGGTACATCAAAACAGCTTTTTCTAATGTGAAAAAAAGATGTATTGTTACCTCTTTTTTCCTTTTACTTAAGACCCCATATGGAGGCAGTGATTGCGGTTTGTTTGAGAGCAACAATACTATGCATGCTGTTCTAAAAAGTGACCCAACCGATAGTCTTGTCTTCAAACTGCCTGATGCGATCACAAGACCTACCACAAGTAAATATTTTTTTAAATTTTGATTGTATTACTTTTGCTGTTTGGCTGCAATCTTTTTTTTTTTCACGTTTTTACTCCATAGCCTGCAGGTGCTACCATCTGGATACAAAAAAAATATGTATAAATAATGGTTGTAAATTGCACAACTTTGCCAGTCAGGCATTTTAGGCATTTTAGTTTTGATAAAACTGTAATGACTAGAGCCTAGATTGCAATGAAACTGTTAAGTGTTTTCACCAGGACAGCAGTTAAATGTTCTACCAAGTGGTACTTATATTGACTTCATATAACATTGAACATTGAGCATGTCATTATGTAGTAAAAATGTTATTTCTCTTTTTTTTTAATTTGATTTTCAGTGTCAGTAATTGGAGAGGATATAGTGGCAACCACACGTAAAGATGCCAGTCCGCACTATTATGTGGTAAATTTGAGGCACATTTTCCCCTCTGATGGTAAGATCACTAATAGACTAAGATACAGCTAGAGAATTTTTCTGGAAATGTTAAATTATCCCCTCAATCAACAAAAACCTTGAGCAAACTATGATCTGAATTGAGATGCATTTACATTATCATTCTCATATGCAACCATTATAAAACATAGTAAAACATAGTGAGCACACAACTTGAATCTACATTGTTGCCCTTAATATATTATAAGGTAGCCTGCATTCCATTTATTTTCCCACAGGTGAGGTATTTGCCTGGCAATACTATGCCGCAGGTTCCGGGGGACCTTTAATTTTCTATATTTTCCGCCCTCTGTCTGGGACTTGTCAGTTTGAAATAGTGGGAGAATATAAGGTGAACTCAGTCAGAGAAACTGGATATAGAGAGGTAAGACTATAGATCTACACTTTCACCTTTCATCATAAATGCAATTCCTGTTTATTGCATTCAATAAAGATTCATTCATCATAACATTTTTGCTGTGAAAGTTACTTTGTTGTACATATTTTTGCTCCTGTGGAAAACAAATTATCTGAGTTAACCCAGTATGATTTTTTAGTGTAAAATCATTAGAGATCAACTTTTACCCTTATCGCTAAAAACTTAACCCCACTTCAGATGACAAAATTATCACACCTAGTCTCACTTTAGGCTATTTAGGCTATGTTTCCCGTTGCTGTATATATCTGGTCACCCTCACTGACATGAAGCTATTGTTGACATTTACAGAATGAAAACCTTGAATGTTCATTAATCACATTAAGAATGGTGTATGTAATGTCATTCATGTAAGAAAAAGATAAATGAGTAAAAACATTAATATATCAGTGTGTTGGGCATTTGTGATGCTTTTAATGTATAGAATAGAACTACTAAGTAGCCTGCTTTTCAATTTTGTTATTACCTCTCTATAGGAATATTCTGATATACGACTTAAAAATACAACATCAATAAAATTCACAATTTCCCCATTGTCATTACCGTTACCGCAGTGTATGACATCACTTTCACCTAAGCATAATGTGTGACATTCAACTTCTTTCACTTCAGATAACTCTCCCTGTTAACCAGCGGATGCGTGTTAAGGCAGGGGACCTGTTTGGTTTTGCATGGTTTGATACTGGGATTATGGGCTTTCCAAGTCATGACTGTGAGTGGTATAGACAGAGAAAGCAGTGAATTTAAACCAAAGACCTCACAACTTAGACTATTTGTTTTTTAATGTTAAAGGGGAAATCAAATTTGGTTTTAAACACTCGTGGACATGCCAGTCAGTACTTAAATAACAGAAAAATATCAGTTTCTGTATCAAACTCCTCAAACTTCATTTGCGTCTGTAACATTTTTTTCTAAATAGTTCTTCTAGGAACCCATGTACTTCATCTACTAATAAGATAAAAATATGTGCATAAAATCTCTCCCACCCTCATATCCATCTGTTGCATTTCTAATTATTATTCAACATATACAGGGAATGTTACAATACCAACCTTGATGCCTTAACATCTCTTTCTATTTCAGCTACCATGCAGGATGTGTATCTTCCCCTGGCTGCAAGCATCTGTCTGGCATCACATGGTGGCACAGCTCCTACTGCTGGTCAAACTGTGACGCTTTCGACTGATTCCCCAAGATATTACTCTATGAGAGCAATATGGCAGCCATACAATGGTGGGTTCATCACACAATGTGGTGATATTATATTGACACAAAGACAAAGATTGCGATGTCATGCTATATTGCACAGATATACCTCCTGTTGTTCAATATGATTTTCGAAAAGAAAACCAAATTTCCTATTAAAAGATTTGTAAAACTAATAATTAAATATATCTCTAAGCGAAGTACAAAATGCACAGAAAAGTGATACACATTCAATATATAAAAAAAACAGACTTGGGATTTCGTGATTTTCATCAGCCTTTAAAGATTTGAAAGGTCATCATCAATCCAGCATTTCCATTATGTTTTGTATATAAAGATGTATGTATGTATGTACAGCCATTTTTGTTTCTTACAGATTCCAATAGTCCCCAAGCTCTGGGTATGGAGAGTGGTGCTATCCCAGATAGTGCCCTCAGTGCTAGTCATTCACACGGTGACTGCCACCTCACCAGAGCCAGGTTGAACTATTTTGATGACACTATCATTGGCAATTCTTGGTGTGGTCTTACTTCTGGCACCTACTGGTTACAGATAGACTTACAGGATTACTACATGGTCACTGGGGCTGCCTCTCAGGTGATTCAGTTCTATACCAGTATAGACTCTGACTGTAGCTGAGGTCAATATTTTATTTTTAAAATTATTCTATTGACTCTGCTTCTTGACTCAGTTCTCTACCAGTGTAGACCCCGACTATAGCTGAGGTCAAAATCCTGGGGATTAAAGTGGTGTGTGTGTGTGTGTGTGGTGTGTGTGTGTGTGTGTGTGTGTGTGTGTGTTGTGTGTGTGTGTGTGTTTGGGGGGGGGTCACCAGAGGTCACACCTAATATTTTGGTTCTAAAATATTGTAAAAAAAATGTAATTGAAATTTTTAAAATTCAACATTACTATTCTATTGGCTCTGCCCCTGTTTGCATTTAGTGTATGTACGTAAAGATCCCAACTGTTTTGTTGTAAATTGTTAAGCTAAGTTATGGAGAACTCTGGACATAGATATAAAAAAATGAAATACGTCAGACATTTGTCAGACAATTTCAAGTAAGGAGGAGACTATTCAAAAGTTAAAACATTTCTGTATAGTCAGTCTTTTCCTCGCATTGATACAATTTTTTCACTCTAACAGGGACGTCCTCCCACCAGTGTTTGGTCTAGTCCAGGACAGTGGGTCACCCAGTACGAGCTTCACTTTTCAACAGATGGAACTCAGTTTTCATGTTACAAAGATCAACAGGCATCGTGCAGGGTAAGAAATAACATCCCAGTGGGAAATAGTTTTATTTAAAAAAAAGAAATTGATTAAAGGTGGCAAGGCATCACGTGTTGTGGCAATAGACAATATAACTCATCTATCATTGAGAGACAGAAGTTATCTTTGTTCTATTTACCCTCTTTTCACCTTCTTTAGAAAGAGGCCTTCAATGTACCATCAGCTTGTGAAATTCCATTCGACAGAAACTTTTTTGAAAAATCTTTTTTCATGTTTTTCTAGGCATGACAGATTGAAGTCAAGTTTGCCATTTGTAATTTATTTCAGGCATTTACAGGCAATTCCAACCCCACAGCAGTTGTCCACAATGACCTCCCTAAACCATACTTGGCTCGCTATGTCCGCTTCTATCCCAAAGCTATATACGGCTATGGTTCCATGAGGGTAGAGCTATATGGATACCCTACAGGTAAGTTACGGGAAATTTTTTTCTTCCACTATTGATATAAGGAAGGGATGAAAGTTGTACATTCTTGTACATTGTGCACAGTATGGTCTTAACTAGTATATGCATAGGCCAACATCACAATTTAAATGTCAGATTTTTAGATGATTTTTAATTTAACAAATTGTTTTTGGGGAATTTGAAATTGCTTGCTTAAGCACAGTTGCACATTTAGTGTAACACAAAAACTGGTCAGTCTCCCCTCAATACAACCAGATCGCCGTGTGGTTTGAGTGAGCCCAAGGAGGCAAGAACAGCAACACCCAGTCTGCATCGGGACCAAAAATAAGAGGGTGTCTAATGGAATTAAACCACACTGAAATGCACGTGGAGTGTGGTTTACAAGAAATGAACCTTACTTTAATTTGTGATTTGTGGTGATGTAAATTTGCATATCTTTTAGAAAATAAAAATGACATATAATTAATAATATCTTTTGTTCTGTATTGTTTTCATATTTGAGTGGTATGCAGTCATATGTCCATGTGAAGTCAAAGATTCTGCTTGACAGAGCACTTGTCTTTTTTGTTGTCCTGTTGAATAACTGAATCTTTTCTTTCTATTTTTCTATTGAAGACTGGAGTATGCTGGCAGCAGTTCCTAACAGTCAAGGTGGAAAATCTGTTGATGTCACAGAGTTCAGTGGAGAGGTATTTGCGGCTGTGACAAAAACAAGCACCATGACAGTCTCTAAATGGAACACAAACACCCAAGCATTTGACGAAATCCAGAATTTAAATGTTGGGCCTACTGCAGCAAAACCATCCTTCTTTAAAGCAGGTAATATTTTACATTCATGGGCTGGTATATATAGGCATGCAACACAGTCTGTTTTAGTTTGTGAGATAAATATGAAAATTAGAGGACAGATATCTCCGTCCAAATAAGGCCACACTTTTTTATTTTTATGGATGACATCCTGCGCGCGCACCGATTTTCATCCGTTCTCCGGAAAAAAAAAAAAAATTCTCCCCCCCCCCTCCAACGAAGTCGGTTGTCGCAAACGTCGTTATTGAATTTGCCCGAAAAATGAGCTTTCTGCGCATGCGTATTATCGCCACGTAGAAATATGGCCGCTTTGCTGTCAAATTCATCTCTAGGATTACTTTCAAATTACACGACAATTAATTATGTAAAGTCATAAAGAGAATGGGGCCGTTGTTTTGGATTGTTATGCCATTGATATTGGGCATGGAGATATCCACTTTTTTACAATTATGCGAAAGGCTGGCGGTGGCCAGCGATTATCGCCCGGAAAATTTCAGTGACATTCTGTCCAAAGCAGCACATACCAGGTTTTTTTGTAGCGAAAAAAGGGTTGACAGGGCGTCAAGGTATTTGGTGGGCAGAAGGTCGGTCAGGCCACCCGACAGTTTGGCTGTTTCCTGTGAGTCGAAGTAGACCAAATGACATTGACCGAAATTACCTTTTATAGATTTGGTGGTATTAAGCATATCTTAGCATCATTTTAAAGATTTCTGTGAAGTGTTCATAATGCTTTAATATTCTGAGTACAAATAAAGACACACTGTTTGTTTGATATTTGTTTTATTGATTGTTATACCAACAAAATGCATGAAATAAGCTAAATAGATTTGGTAATAGGCAGCATATATATCTATCAGGCCCGTAGCCAGCAATTTCAAAAGGGGGGTACTTTTTCTGAAAAAGTTGACCTTTTTCCATAAAAACTTCATGTACCTAGATCAAATTTTACCCAGAGTGGACCTTTTCCCAGCAAAAGGGGTGGTTCTTTCTACTCTCCACCCCCCCCCACCCCCCCACCCCCCGGCTTTGGGCCTCTCTATTCATGACTTTTTTTTACCTTTCTACGAAGTATTCACAATGCTTAAATATTTTGAGAGCATGGATAAAGACATATTGTTAGTTTAATATGTGTTTCTGTGGTAAATTTGTGTTTCCAGCTGTGTACTGACAGCATTCCTTTACTTAAATAGCATTTTTTTTTTTTTAACTGTTCTTTTTTTTTTTTTTTTCGCCCTCTCGCACCGATTTCGGGGTCCCAAGAGGATGTCATCCATAAAAATAAAAAAGTGTGGCCTAAACCAAATCTTAGGATTTGTGGGATAAAATTCTTAATTTTATTTAGATTGTAAAAATAGATTGGTTGTAGAAATAACATTTATGTAGATCACATGCAGAACCTTCAGGAGTATACAAGGTAAAGGACTTCAGTTTCACTGGCCAAAATGAATTGAGAGTGGAGTCTAGATGTTTTTGCACAGTGGTTGGGTTAATTGGTCATGTTATTGAATAAATTTTTTTTTTTTTTTAACAAAGGAGAAAAGTCCATTGAACTGTTCTTACATTCCTAAAAATCCAACAGTAGTGTTCACATTACTCGTTTCTATTGATTACAGGTGGCAAGCTGTACCTGACCGCAGCAGACGAAAATGCATCCCAAGTGACCAACCCAGTCTATGTATGGGACGGGAGTAGTTGGTCGTCCCACACCACACTGGACGGACACAGTGCCAAAGCCATCATTCCTTTCCAGCGTGACCGGGACACTTTCCTGGCTGTGCTGAACTACTTCAGTGATCAGCATTCCAGTTCTCATGCCAGACACTATGATGCCTACCCCTTCATATACAAGTGGGCTTGATTGGCATTACCAATCTTGACCTCATTAATTGTGCCTTAATGAATTCTGCTGTATGTGAGTTTGCTTACTGTAAATGAAGTCAACTTTCGCGTAATCTTACAAATCTGACAAAATACTTATCTGCGTTATGGAAATAATCAAATTCTGTTTTTCTCTGTTTAATATCTATTGATATGTTTTATATACTGATATTTTTACCATATATCTTTTTCTCTCCAACTTACATTACAATGAGTTTCAGCAGTTTCATTTTAAATTGATGGACTTTGTTTTAGAGTTTTGACGATGCCATTTCAGGCAAATGGCAAAGTTTTATGGTATTGTGGTTAAGTGAGATGTCAGTCTTTTCAAAGCAAAAATAATCTATATAATTTTGTGTGCACTGTGATATATCATCATTTTCTCAATTAAGCAAAATTTTCTAAAATCTTAATGAGATATATTGATGTCAGGAAGTTAAGATACTGCAAGCATAAGATCATTTCATGCACAATCTGCATGTGCTGAGGAACTTTATATTCAGCAAAAGAAGTTGGACTATTTCCTGACATCTCTAGGTATGTTGTCATACAGGGAAACTTGGCTACAAACTTTTATGTAAAAAACTTTGTTAGAAACTTGTTTAGTAAAGACTTTGATCAATAAAACCCCATGTGTATCTTACAACTATTGTAGGACCTTAGAAAACAAAGGATAACATTATTTTTATTTCCAGTTTTGTTTTTAAAAAAATTCAATATGTCAAAATTAAGTACAAATCTATTTTTAATATTCTTCTTTGTATGATGATTGAAATAAACTGTATGACTGTGCATATTACATGGTATTGGTGTATTAACTTATATGCATGATTGTAACAAAACGCTTTCTGGAAAAAAAAAAGAAGTTTGGCAGACATATCATTAATGCTGCTTTGCATTCCACAATAACCACTGACATTGTTACAGTTTACTAGAATAAAAGCTCTGTAATGGCTTGACGTGCCCAAAAGGTTGTTGTACGTTACATACTATTTGAATATCACTTGAATTCCTAATTTCAAACCTATGGAGGGTGGTGGCCTTTGTGCGTAATTCTTCAATACTTTCCTCAAATTCTGGGGTTTCTGTGTTATTTTCACAGTCCTCCACATACAAACAATCCTGAGGTAAAATGGACAATGCCCCATCTTTACAGTTCATCCTTATTGGTAACCATCTTTCATTGCCAAAACAAGCCCTTCTCACAGCAAACTTTTGTAAATCAAGGATCTTGTTGAAGTTCCTGAGTCTGCACAGTTCATACAATTGTGGGGGTGCGTACCAGATTCTCCTTTTCCTGTACTGCGTCAAAGCTGCATCTGGTGTGTACCATTCAGAGGAAACCATCTCTCGTTTACAAAATGCTGTATCAGGTACAGTATTGGTACATACAATATAAAACATTGTATCATATCGTCTGTTCTGACCAGGTCCTGTTACTTTGAAAGCCATGTCTGTAGGTGTGAGCCAGTCACTCCATTCACTAAGAGCCCAAACATCGGGTACAATTTTCAATTCTTTACACATTCCTATAAAATTCTGAGCACTGTCGTCAACTTTCCTCTGCCAATACTCAAGCACTGAAACTTGTGCAACATCACTGCTGATATTTCTTATTGTTTTGGCAAGCTCTATGTGGGGACTGGAAAAAATGTCTTCATAGTTTTTAACCACTAGAATTCCAGACTCTTCAAATGTTTCCCTTATTGCACATATTCTTAATGCCACTTCATTGGGAATAATACTCCCATAGTTATTCTTATAAAGAGGTGGCCTGACTGCAGCAGAATGTTCCAGGATGGCTGTAGAGGTTGTGAAACCTGCAGCTTGGAATACCTCCATCCATTCTTCAGAATAATCAGCAGGGTCCAAGACACCACCTGGGAAAACATGAGCACTGGGCATAAACTTGCTCTTGCTACTTCGCTTCAGCATGAGAAGATGGTAGTCCTGGTAAATATGTCTGGGGGATTTCTGAGATGTTAACTGCAAAGGAGATTTCCCCCTTCTGGCTGCCAGTATGAGTGTGGCAGCATCCTTCCATGGCCTAGACATTCCTGAAACCAGTCAAACATTTTCAATGAACTGCAGTACCATACAGTACTGTAGATGTATGTACAGATCAGTTACAGTTGTGAGTTACAGAATAGAAACTGGAACTCACAACCAACTAACCCCGGCAACACACATCACATCGTGGGATCCCATCAAACACACAGGCAAAACAAAAGCAGCTGGAATCAAGGCTATTGCAACCCGGACAGGCATCACAGCAACTACTTGAATATAGACAATGTAGTCATATCTAGTTCGATTGGGAAAGATCTGCTAGCAGAAAAACTATTCCCGAAGACAAACAGCCGCTGCTATATATTAAATGGAAAACAAATTTCGGATGCCAAAAAACTAATGACAGAAAATCATTTCGGACAACCCAGAACTGTCACAGTCATCATAGGCTCTAATAATATCAGCGCAGGCCAACCCCCGCAGCAGGTGGCAGAGGAACTAAGAGACCTAATTAACCACACCAGACAACAATACCCAAAAACAAAAATAATTGTCAGTGATATTCTCCCCCGTTGGGGAAATGAACAATAACGATGCGCGCGTTATACGTCACAGGTCTTGCGTAACTACCCACGTGCTACGATTTTTCCCTTGGGGGGGCAACAAGCGGCCATTTTGTACAGGAGCAATGCATAGATGGGTGAAAACGATACGTTGTTTTTAACCGAAACGATGTCCCAGGGACGAAACTGCCAACACCAAAAGTAAAGNTTCAACGCGAATGCACTACAGGCAAATGCCATCATTCAGGACTTCTGCCACTCCTTGCCAGGAGTCCACTTCATGATGAATCATAACATAATAGGCAGAAGAGATCTTTTTACTACAGATGGAATACACCTCGCCCGGCCTGGAGTTATCACTCTTGCACGTAACATAAAGATGGCTTCAGGCACCATGCATCCAAACAGCACCTACATCTCCCACTCATACCAGCCCAGAGGACACCGCAACAGCAAAGTGTTATCTTATCCACGTGACATCCAGCAGCACCAACATCCCGTTGGAAGTGAACTGAAAATGCTGCATTTGGAAAGATGGCAAAATGACAGCAGAAACCTCCACGTATATCCTCATTCCAACCAAAATAGGAACCACTACGGCCACAGTGAAAGAGAGGTGCCCCATAGACAACACATCGCTAACAACAGAGATGGACAGACACTGCAGCAGCCAAATACACCGGTACGCGATAGTGACAATAACACTTTCATAATAGAAACGCTAAGGAATCTACTAAGCTACATTAGCTAAATATGAACTGCATAAACTATTGAACGATACAGATGGACTTTAAAAGATAAAGTAAAACTGAGACCTCTCAGTAACGATGAATCTCAATATATAACATACTGGTACCATATACATAATTAAGCCTCTCAAAAGCATTCAATAAAGAAGCCGAAGAAGATGGGCTGTGGTAAGTCAATGTAGACAGTTAAGTAATTGTAAAGCAATGTAGTTATTAAGCTGTTGTTTGTTATCAGTTGATAGAGTTACATCCAAATAGATTAAATGCAATACTAGATTACTGAGTTTAAACAATTATAGTTATTACGTCAATGGAATTTGTTTCAATGGATCAAAGTTGATTTTAAATGCAATCAATACCTATAGTTTGAAAAATGGTATAAACGCAGTAAACAATCCAGTCTAAAAGACTGAAAATGATACAATTGAATCTAGAAAGCTTGCATAGACGTAAGACAGTTAAAATACTAGAAGCTCTGAAGCATCCAATATTTCAGTAGTATGTCGCAAAACCTTAGAATAGGAATGAGAAATGTTCATGGCCTTAGCGAAAAACTTAAGGACACTTACTTTGTAAATACACTCTCTAAATATGATATAGTGGGTCTTGTAGAGACCTGGAGTAGCATTAGATCAAATGTCAATTTCCCCGGAAGTGATTATGTACATTTTCACCAAATTCGAAATAAGAAAAAACTGAAAGGTAGACCTTCAGGTGGCATAGTAGTATACTACAGAAAAATTCTTATGCAAGGTATCACAAGAGTAGATAGTAGTAGTGAAGATCTCTTATGGGTACGGCTAACTAGAGAGTTTTTCGGCTTTGAAAGAGATATTTTTGTTTGTTTTGTTTATATAAAACCACAGAATAGTACAAGTGGAACAATTGAACAGAGCACCTATGACGTGCTAGAAAAGGAAATCGCTCTATATAGCCAGAAGGGAGATATTATGTTAGCTGGTGACTTTAACAGCCGTACCCACAATATGAAAGAGTACATAGAGAATGATGAAGTAAACAGAGTGCCACTTCCAGACACTTATACCTGTGATACAAGAGTAAAGATAAGAAATAATCTGGACCACAAAATTAACCCTTTTGGCTACTCACTGGTCAACCTATGCATCTCTGCACAGTTACGTATCTTAAATGGCAGAAAACAGGGAGATACTCTCGGATACTATACATGTCACAGTAATAATGGGAATAGTGTGGTAGACTACATGGTGGTTGGTTCAGATCTATTCAAATCAATCAAAAATTTCTGTGTAAACCCCATTGACTATATCTCAGACCATTGTTTACTGGAATGCATTCTTGAAATGAAAACAAAACAAGGTGAAAAAACACAACAACATGAAACTACAAATATTAAAAGCAAATTTATATGGGATAAAGACTCCAAAGTAGCCTTTGAAGAGGTTTTCATAAGTGCAGGAATAACACAAAAAATTATAGATTACGAATGCACCTCTTTTGCTAATAACGAATCAGGAGTAAATGATGCAGTGAATGAGTTCACAAACATAATGGAATCAGCAGCAAACCGGGCACTCAAAAGAAGGCGTTCACATGTTAACAAAAAATCCAAACACAAAATGAAACAACCGTGGTTCGACCAGGACTGTAACATACTAAGAAAAGAAAGTATAGGACTAGGAAAAAAGCTGAGAAGAGACCCATTTAATATGGCACTGAAAACTAGTTATCATCGAGCAACAAAAGAATACAAAAAACTAGTAAAATATAAAAAGAAGCAAATGAAAAACAATATTTTGAACAACCTATTACACATGGAAAATAAAAACCCTAAAGAATTTTGGGAAATCATAGGGCAATTGAAGGGGCAAATGAAAAGTGACTCATCGGAATACATTGAGCCCAATACTTGGTACAACTACTTTAAAAAATTAGGTGAGAGTCAGAACTCTCAAAATGATCAGAACTTACACGAAAGTCTAGCCAACCTAGAAAAACACTTAGACCAAGAACAATACAAAAAGTTGGACTATCCCATAACCATCAAGGAAATTAAATCAGCTATCAGAGGTCTGAAAATCAGGAAATCATGCGGAGAAGATACAATATCTAATGAAATGCTAAAAACGTCTGCCGCATTCATAGCTAAATCACTGGCTAAACTATTCAATCTAATCCTAGGTAGTGGTAAATTCCCCTCTCTTTGGAATAAAGGTATGATAAAGCCACTGCTGAAGTCTGGAGATCCCTTAAACCCACAAAACTACCGAGGAATTTGTATAAGCAGTTGTTTAGGAAAACTTTTCACTTCAATTCTAAATACCAGGCTTCTCTCTTANAATAATAATAAATAATATGTAACTTGATGGAACACATCTTAGCAGGTGCTTGTTCCAGTAAAATTCTATCTGATAACATATTTATGCCCCATTTGCAGATTAATCAATCTTCTGTTTGTTTTCAGCAGCATATTGAATTGGCAATTGGTATTAAGTGGTAATTGGTAATTAGTATTTTGATGAAAAAAATGAGTATATAATATAATATAATATAATATAATATAATATAATATAATATAATATAATATAATATAATATAATATAATATAATAATTTAGGGGACAAAAAAGGATAATATCTACATGTAGTCAGTAAATAGTGTAAAGGGAATATTTATAATTTCTTTCAAAAACACCTGCTAATTACCTGACCATGAAAATGAAAGGCCTTATGCTGAACATTTTGAAAAAGACAAATAAAAACAGAATGTTCAAAACGGCTACTAAAGGGGTACAAATTAACTTGCTAGGTTTTAAATTACAGTAACTCTCACATGCATGCAGCTTCACGTTATTAAGAATCTTAGATGGGATAATTTCTTTGTGAAGTGTACGGACATTGGCCAATTCAGTTCATGGGCATTGGCCAATTCAGTTCATGACTCTACAGCTTTTCGTGGTCAATATATTGCTCTTTGTAGCAGAACATATGACAGAGCCTACAAAAAGTCTTTTCGAGAAGAGAAAAACGTCAGCAGGACGTTGTGTTGTGGTGGCAAGATACGCCAAACGCTCTCAGAGGTTGTTAAAAATCACATTTGCATGTAAATTGTCCGACCATGACCCTGACGATCAGCAATATCACACGCCTGTCTTGTTTTCTTTTACTGACATTGATCTGGATGCGAAAAAGACATTTACCTAAGTTATTTCTCTCCTGTCGACTGACTTTGGAGCAAAGTCTATGGTCTCCATCACATGGCCTCGTTTTGCGTTCCGTTAAAGTAGCATAGTTATTGCCCAAAGTGAAAGCAAGCGTTATCACTATTCGTTAGCAGCCTTGTGCCACATGCTTGTTTTTTTTAATAAATAATTCCGAAACATTAGCCTATTTTGACAATATATGATTATATGTAAGCATAATCTTTAAAATACTTTCACCACCAATTACATAAAATTTCCCACAATTCCTTTCAAAATGGCTGCCTTCATGCGGAGAGTACACATGGATCTACCATTAAAACATACAAAGAAGTGCTTTTTAACATGCAGAAACATTCACAGACTCATAAGACACGGTGTAAACTCTAGTCTAAAGTTAGGAACAAATTTACACGGAATCGGATACTCCTCTGGACATGGACACCTTACCCATAGGCTGATACAATGTTCACGTTCATTGCAGAGCCATAGAATGTCCTCGAAAGTGCCTTTGGATGGCGGGGTGCGCTGTCTTACTAGCTTTGCCAACAGCCGGTTCTTTCAAAATAGAAGCTGCATGCTAGGTTTGAGTAATTATTCTTCAAACTCTTCGTACCTTCTCGGAAATTGTGCCTCGAATCATTACATAACGTCTCGAAACTACAGCAGTGCCAGCAGCGGGAGTGGAAGTGACAGCGATGATTACGACGACGATAAAGATATTAGAGAAAATGTCCACAACAAGGTGGATGACAGTGAAGAACAGACATATCCGATGCCGCCTTACTTCGAACGAGCAAACACAGCAGCTCTAAGCAGACAAACGGTGCCACTTGACTTCCCGCATGTTCCAATAGTTGCCGTTGATGATTTCCCTTTGTTTCCAAAATTTAATAAAGTGCTTGAGGTAAGAACCGTAAATGTTTTGCAATCATTCCAATAAAGGTAATAGCACATAATTCTTATCTTAACTCTCCTGTTGACGATCTAGGTTTTGCTAGTGCAAAGTCCTCCGCTCAAAAAGTGTAAAATGAAGACCAGTTTCTGGAACAGCCATATGGTGCTGGAACTCTCAAATTTTTATCTTACCCCTCATCTCCTCAACTCTCACACTCCTGTAATGCCCACCAGTTTCCCCATCAACAGAGCTGTGAAGAAGGTTTGTCCATCTGCCAGTTGAGGAGATGAGAGGTAAAATAAAAATTTGAGAACTCCCACACAACAACTGGTTAGTACAGCGTAGATATCAAAATCGTCAATTGGAGTGCTAACACATGAATTTGATGCTGTAAGATAAGTGTGTTACAAAGTTCCTGAAAAAAAAAATACCTCAACATTTTTCTTGTCTTATGTAATTTGAATTATTTTCTTTCAGATAACAGATGACGCCTTGGTCAGATTGATAAAAAAGAAACATGAACTCAGGTTGCCATATATTGGGATTTTCCAGAAGGAGATATCAAGGTGCCAAATGCTTTCAGATTCTTTCCATTTTTTTGCCTGAAAACATACTGTCATGAGATAATTTTCATGCTGGGTGTCATGTATAAGTAGATTAATTAGATAAAAACCAATATAATTTTGAATTTTAGGGAACATTTTATATATAATTATGTTTTTTTCTGCAAAACCTGTGAATATTTTATAATTTTTCACTTCTGTTTAGTGGAGATACCACTGAAGGTATGCTGCTGAGGAGGAATATCTACAGAGTGGGAACATTTGCCAAGATAAACACAATCCAAGATTTTGAAAATGGTATAAGGATGACTGTACTTGGACACCGGAGGTATGATAAACCTTGTTGACCTTTTTGGTGAATTAATATAGCTTTTATGAACCATGAAAGTGATCTTGTTTTATAAACTCTTTCCTGTACAAATCATCTTTTTAAAAAGAATTTGGATATGGGTGACAAAGGATCAATTTTTATACAGTTTGTTATAGAATTTATTGTACTCGCATTGAAATAAAATGAAGCACATGGAATTGTTTCACATTTGTATTTATACTTTGCTCAAATATTATGCACTTGCTATGCTTTCAGGATTAAAATTCTCAAAGTTCTTGATGACAGTGAAGTTACATATAACAAACCACCTTCACTTAGTGGTAAGTAAATCATGAGTGTTAATTAGACAGGAAAAAGAAAGAGTGGCATTTTATCTTAATAATATTTTTTTACATCCCAGTTGATTACCTCAGGATTGAAGCACTTTTTCACAAATTGGAACATATTACATTCTTACATTTACTTTTTGAAACAGGCTCAATCCTACTTGTTCATTAAGTTGGGCTCTTTGTTCACAATTGATTTTTATTTGTTTAGTCTGTGAAGTTGAATATTAAAATTAACAGTGTGCAGATACAAACACAGAAACTGAATGATTTGGCAAATTACTTATTAGTCAAAAATGTGTAAGCTCTCTGAAGTATTACTGTAGTTTGAAGTTCTATGACAATGATTTTAGCAGAAAAAGATAAAGACCAAAGACATTCAAGGGATATTGATGAAGGTTATTCAGAACCAGAGTTGGAAAGAACCATCTATCCCGGAGAATTACTGATGGCATATACAGAGAACATGGTAGAAGAAGAGTTTGAAAAAAATCAACATTTAAGAGTAAGCGTGAATTCGAATTGTATTTTCTCATCACTTCCAAAAAAAAAAAAAAATTATACTGTTTGCATCACTTTGTATAGAATACGCATTTGACACATTCATATAACATCATTAGACCACTTCTATAATTAGACTTTGGTCAGCCTGAAGCTAGAAGTTTGGGTCTTTTGAAAATGCTGACATGAGAAGTTTTATTTATAAAAGCTTTACTTTAATTTTCAGGCCCTTACAGAAGAAATCATAAAAACTATCAAAGACATAATGTCTGTGAATGAATTTGCCAGAGATACTTTGGTTTTCCTATTGCAAAATTCTTCAATAAGGGTAGGAGAAAACCCACCATATCTTGCAGATTTAGGTAAGAGAAAATAACTTTTTTTTCTGTTTCTTTGACTTTTTAACTTAAAGTAAATAAGAACAAAAATGTTGTTCATGCTGTCCATTTTGAGAAAATAAAAAAAGTTTTAAACATTCAAATATTTTTGCATTTCTCCTGCTCATGAAAGGGCATCTGATATGTACTTAAATTCACAAGTATTGATTACAATTTTGTCACAGATGAAAGGTCAGCCTTCATATCAACCTAAATTGTAACCATTAATGTGTCTTCAAAAACACCTTAAGCTTTTATTGTTCACATTAAAAGCTAGCCAACCAGAGATTGTGGGATAGAAAAAAATTGGAATTGTTCCTTGCTTGAAAGAGTATTTCCAAAGAATGGGAGCAGTAGTAAATGACCTTGTTATATTACATTTTGGATTTTTGAGAAAAAATGTTTTGAATTATTTAGGTGCTGTGCTTGTTGGACATTCACCAAATGAGACACAAAAAGTCCTGGAGGAAATGAATGTGAGTTTACTTGTCTTTAACGTTTTCTCAGCAGCATTGTTTTGTTCGATTAGAAAATTCATGATTTGATGTTCTTGATTTAATGTTTTCCTGTTTTAGCATTTCTTCCCAGGGGTTTACAAATCATTACAAAGAAATTATATAATATTGGATAAATGTAAAACTGATTAAAGTATTATGACATTTAGATAATGTAACAGAATGTTGAATTCTACTGACCATTGTTTGTTATTTAAAAGGCTGCTAGAATCTTGTTTGAAACCATGATCACAAAAATTTTTATGACAGAACCTTTGCAAAATACCTAAAGTCTGGTGAGATAAGTAATACATGTATTAGATGCACTGAAAACACTACAAAGGGTTTCTTTTCATTAGATACCTGAAAGGCTGAGGTTGTCTTTGACTTTGCTGAAAAAGGAGTGGGAAACTAAGCAGATTCAGCAGAAGATAAGAAGTGAGGTCTGTAGAATGGTTCAGTATATGCTTTATCTAATGGTAGATAAAATTACAGAGTTGTTCGGAGAGTGCATGCTTCCCTCAAAGAGAAAAGATGACTAGTATTGTTGAGATTTGATCCCCAAACTAAATGCTGTGACCACTTGAATAACTTAAACACTTGACCAGGGATTCAGTTGTAATAGGTCAAAAATCATATTTTTATTTATGGACACAATATATCTGTACATATAGTCATCAACTGTGTCTTTTCTGTTGTCTTTTTACTGTTAAAACAATAAATGGATGACTGTGTGACTCATTATACTCAAACTTGTTATTTTTAGGACTAAAATTTACTTTGAGTTCTAAAACCAGCCTGATTGGATTCTCTTTTTGCAGTTATGGAGATTATCTTTGTGAATAAATCATGGAATTCAAACTTTATTTTACAAACAGGTGGAAGAAAATATACGACAAGCGGGGCACAGGGCCTACCTGATGGAGTCCATGAAAGTTATCAAAAAAGATTTAGGAATGGATAAAAATGATAAAGACACAGTAGAAGAGAAGCTTCGAGAAAAGCTAAAAGTAAGAAATGACATTTAGAAGACTACAGACAAAAAAAATAACAGTTACACGTGAATATTTGGACCTCTTTTAGAAACTAAGCCAAATATCCACATATAGTATTTCATTTCAAAAAATCATTCACGCTACAGCAAGGTTACTATTTATGATTGGTCTTTTTTTAACCCCAATTAAAAGTTTTGACGTAATAGAGGGCATTGGGTGTTGTTAGTTAACTTTCTTTGCATGCTTGTTTTCTTGTAGACCATTGATATTCACTTTGAGAATAGGAATAATTTTTTTACAGGGAAAAACTTTACCTCCTCATGTCCAGGAGACTATTGAAGAAGAATTTCAAAGATTCAGTTTTTTGGATCCCCATTCGTCTGAATTTAAGTAAGAAAAAAGGTTTTTATTGCTGTTCTCTACAAATGCATGACTTAATTAAATCTGTGGCAGCTTAAATATATATATCTTTTCATTCAGTGTTGCAATTTGGATAAATTGTTTGATTTAAGAGTTTTTAATATTGCAATTAAAATTTTTCATAAAATAATAAAAGGTACACAATGTAAGATTTTCTCAAGAAAAAAACATACTTAACAAATTTGCCTGGGTTAAATCATATTTTTNTTATTTCCTGCTTTTTGTCTGTACATTTGACAGCTTTGCTGCCTTGTCTTAGTTGATCATATAAAAATGGCAGTAAACTTCATTTTGTTTTATGTTAAAAAAGTGTTAAAAATGGAAATAAACCCATTTCAGAACAGTGCTGTCTTGTTAAAATTTGATGTTGAATTTGCAGTTTAACATTATGTTCTTTTGCATCAGAATTGGCAGTAGCCTATTTTGTGCATAGTTATTTCCTGCTTTTTGTCTGTACATTTGACAGCTTTGCTGCCTTGTTTGTCTCTAAATTACCAACCTTTGAAACTCCTCTTAAGCAATGTGAGAAATTAAAGAAGTCCTTAACCCAAGCTTTAGCAGTGGTTTTTCAAATTTTGTAATGAATTAGATTATTTTTGTCAACATTAATTCATGGCATTAATCTGTATAAAAATGATCAGAAATTTACTATTACTTCAACATCAGATAAGTTCAATCAAAAGTGATTTATGTACCTAACATGTGTTTAAAATCTTACATTATTTAAATGTATCCCCACATTTTTTTCACTTCAGTGTCACCAGGACCTATTTGGAATGGCTGACATCTATGCCATGGGGGATTTTCAGTGACGAAAAACTCGACTTGGAGCATGCAAAACAAATTCTAGATGAGGACCATTATGGGATGGATGATGTTAAAAATAGAATTTTGGCAAGTTTTTAAAACCTCATACATAGCACTCATTACATGAAATGTGAGATCCTCAGATATGGCAGGGAATAATTTGTAAAATAATTAATACTGTAATTCCATTGCTTATTATTAAATGTAAAAACTTTTGTTTTTAGGAATTTATTGCAGTAAGTCAGCTGAAAGGCTCCACACAAGGAAAAATGATGTGTTTTCACGGTCCACCCGGCACTGGGAAGACCAGTATTGCAAAGTCCATAGCAAGGGCCCTGAACAGAGAAGTAAGTGGCATACTGATGACTTATCTGTGGGGTGGAATCTTTAGAAAAGCATTGCATCAGCTGTGTTGTGCACTCAAAGTTGATACAATACAGGAAAAATAAAATGATTGGAGTGCAATTAACTGATCAAAGGGAACTCTTTAGGATTGTGGACAAGATTTCAGAATCTAAGTCAAGCCAGCTAAGTGTGCTTCCTGACATGGAAATGTCAACACTTCCTCAAGTTTTTGCAGATTTCTTCACAAACCGGATCAAGGATATTCGTAAGGACTTAACTCAAAATGCTACCACAGGATCCTCAGAATCAGATCCATTACCAAGTGAATTTCAAGACAGGTGTGCCAGTCAGGGTGGTGGGGCCCAACTGAGCAATTTCCTACCGGTCTCAGAGAAGGATATTATCTCTGTTATAAAGGGGATGAATTCTAAGTTTTGTGCTCTGGATCCCATGCCAACATATATAGTGAAAGAGTGTATTAGTGTGTTATCTCCAGTTCTCTTGAGATTAGTAAATCTGTCTTTCTCAACAGGTATCTTTCCATCAAACTGCAAAACTGCAATTGTTAGACCATTACTTAAAAAGCAAGGGCTGTGTAAAAATGTCCTGAAAAACTATAGACCAATATCAAATCTACCCTTTTTAGGTAAATTTCTTGAAAAAATGGCATGTTCCCAACTAAGCAGCTATCTATCTGAAAATAAACTCTTTGGGAAATTCCAGTCTGCCTATAGAGAAGGCCACAGCACTGAGACAGCTCTACTTCGAGTCCACAACGACATAATGCTTGCCCTGGATAAACAAAGAGATGTCATTTTAGTTCTTCTAGACCTTTCAGCGGCTTTCGATACCATAGATCATAATATTCTTCTTCACAGGTTGCAGCATCGTTTTAGAGTGAATGGACTTNGTTTTTTGTGAAAATTTAATTTTTCACATATTGGCATTTTCAAGGTGTGACTTTAAAGTTCCATGATCTTGAAGACTTTTGCTTGTCACATTTTCTGAATGTCCATGTTACTAATATTTTATTAATAACATTTGATTGTCATTATGCTGTTAAACATTATGTAATGTTGCATCAAAATTTGAAGAAACCCCTATTTTGGGCACTGCTCCTATGATGACCATTTAAGGGAAATCATGTCACTTACTGTTCTCAAACTTACAGGAAAGAAACATGGGTCTAACATACAGCTTCAATAGGCAACGCAGTCTGTTTGGTAAATTTTTCTGGCAATTTAACAGTTTTTTGTGAAAATTTAATTTTTCACTTATTTGCATCTTTATTTTCTGTTCTTTGTCTGTACATTTGACAGCTTTGCTGCCTTGTTATTATTATTATTTAGCTGTCATATGAAGAAACTGTTGATAGTAACTTTGTTGTAATATTTCACTTTGACTGAAACACCATGAAATAATGTTTTATATAGAATTGGATCCATATTAATGCCCTCTATTGATTTTTCACAAAGTTTCAGAAAATATCCCTGCATTTAAGTTAAAAGTTGAAGGTGATAGCAACTTGTCAAGAAATTTTCTCATAAAACTTTAAGGACCTCTGTAGAGTTCACTAAGTGCAACATGGTGTGTAAAATGAAAAAAATCGCCTTTTTTCCAAAGCATAAACTTCTGTTACAGCTCAATGTCAACAGCAGTTGTTACAATACTTCAATTTTTGTGAAAATAGCATTTTTATGTAAATCCTCTTTTTATGTGTTGGCTGTTTATTTCTAGTATTTCAGGTTTAGTGTGGGTGGAATGGAGGATGTGTCTGAGATCAAGGGTCACAGAAGGACATATGTTGGTGCTATGCCAGGAAAGATCATCCAGTGTTTGAAGAAAACAAAGACGGAAAATCCACTCATTCTCATTGATGAGGTGAGCCGTAATGTCTGTAGGCTGAAATAATTCAGATTTTTTATATTTCTTCACAATTTATGATTATTATTCATCTACATATATAAATGGTAATCATCCCAAAATGCAGTTCTTGAAAAAAAGGGTTGCTTTGTAAGTACAGTTTTTATAACAGTATAAAAATAAGTGCATTCTTTACAAAACCATCTTCATCTTCTAGATTGACAAGATGAACAGAAGTTGGAGAGGGGACCCGGCAGCTGCCATGCTTGAGCTGTTAGATCCCGAGCAGAATGCTAACTTTCTTGATCACTACTTGGATGTTACTGTGGATCTTTCTAAGGTATGAAAAGGTGTTGAATTTAAAGTGATATATGATAGTTTTGGCTCCAATTTTACAAAAAATGTTACGTAGGTTTTTGGTTAAAATCTTAATTATTAATGTTAATAAGACTGACTGTGAAAAATCTCAAGGGCTGCTTATCCGTCCGAGATTTAAACAGCTAGGCAGAAATCCTAGCCTCCTTGGAAACTGCCTAACCTTAAATTTAGTCTCAAAACATAAATGAAGTCTGTTTTTGAACTTAATTGATTAGTCTTACTTTGACACAGTATGGCATGGTCTTTGTGTGTTGTTCTAGGTATTGTTCATCTGTACTGCCAATCAGACCAATACCATCCCAGACCCCCTCAAAGACAGGATGGAGCTGATAGATGTGTCTGGATATGTGGCAGATGAAAAAGTGGCCATTGCACAGGTTAGACCCTCTTCAGTCATGCAACTGATTTGTCTCGATTTATTGTGATGTAGATTTATTTAGGTTACAGAGTGAGACATTTTTTCTACTCATTATAAAAATAAAGGTTGGATAATTGCAAATATTTGTAGTAACTGTATGTTATCTATCATATTCATCCTTGTGTACATGTTAAGCCTTTCTTTTTTTTTTTGTTCCAGCAATATCTTATCCCCCAAGCTCGCCAGCTGTCTGGCATAAATGATGAACAAGTGAAAGTCGGAACAGATGCTCTCAATGTCCTTATAAAGAACTACTGCCGAGAGAGTGGAGTTAGAAATTTACAGAAGCACATTGAAAAGGTAAGTTTTTTTTTTCTATAACGATGTGACACAAGTTGAAAATAAGGTAACCAGTTAGTCCACTTATTTGAGCATTTTTAAGGGCATTCAATTATTTATCTTTATTTGTTTATGATTATTTATTTATTTATTTATTTATTTATTTATTTATTTATTTATTTATTTATTTATTTTTTTTTTCCAGATTTTTAGGAAAGCTGCTTACAAGATAGTAAAAAAAGAAGAAGACTCCATTATGGTTGACAGTGATAATTTGCAAACCTATGTTGGCAAGCCAGTCTTCACCCATGACAAACTATATGAGGAGACGCCCCCTGGTGTTGTGATGGGGCTGGCCTGGACAGCTATGGGTAAGTTTGATTTTCGTTGCCAATACATAATGATGTTTCTAAAACCCAACTTGTTCTCTGATTAGTACAATGCAATGCTGTCATGGCATAAAAAGAGTCGGCTTGAAAAAGTAGGACTCCCTGTTATGTAAATTGGTTATTTTTTTAGTAAGATGTAGAAAACATCTTTGTTTGCTTCTGTTTGAACAACAATGCAATGTAATTTGTATGTTATCCATTATGTTACCTATATCAAGATTAATTCTACACTGTTGACATTGACCTTTTCCAACTCACCAGGTGGATCCACACTGTTTATTGAGAGCACTGGGAAGAAGGCAATGGACACATCCAAAGATGCCGCTCTCACCATGACAGGGCACCTGGGGGATGTGATGAAGGAGAGCGTACAGATTGCATACATATTTGCCAAGGCATTCTTGCTGAAGAAATACCCAGACAATAAATATTTACAGCACACTGATGTGCATGTCCACGTGCCTGAGGTAATGGCCAGCTTGATGCTTTCCTCTCATGTTTGTGAAATTGTAATAGTAGGTTACTTTCACTTCACCCCATTTTTTCCTCATAATTGCTTTAACTAAAAAAAGTTTCATCGAAGTTTTTTGCATCTGCATTAGAATTGTAAGAATTTATTCGGTGACTGTTAAGTTCAACATGACGGGCTGTGATAACCAAACCATTTATTTATTTATAAAGTAAAAACAAATAAAGGAGCTGACTTCTCCTAAGAACCAAGTAAATCAAATCAAGAAAATTTTTCCTTTGTCTTCATATTGCCTTACAAAATCTGCGGTCCTCTTCTCTTCAGGGTGCCACCCCCAAAGACGGCCCCAGTGCAGGATGTACCATAGTGACGGCCCTGTTATCCTTGGCCAGGAACCTCCCCATCAGGCAGAATGTCGCCATGACAGGCGAGGTCTCCCTTACGGGGAAGATACTCCCAGTTGGAGGAATCAAGGAAAAGATCATTGCTGTAAGTGAACGCAGTGCTTTTATTTTGAAAAAAGTTGTAGTGAGTTTTTCATTATTATTTGAAGTGCTGATGTAGGATGCCACAGACAGAAAAAAATTATAAAATAATAAATTATGTATGCAGTGACATTTGCATGTGTATGTGTAGATATAAATAAATGTTTTTGAAGGGTAAAGGTTTTTTAAGCTGGAATAGCAGCCTTAGCTCGTGAAATGATTCAGACCTGTTGATTAGTCATGTCTGACATTTCTTAATAACTCTCACTGGGAAGTTTTTACATAAGATTTTAGCACTGAATGGTGTGTGGTATCTGAGTCATTTCTACACATGGCATTTCCTTTATTTGGGGATAATAAATGTCCCAATTCAGTTAACAGTACAAAAATTCTTACCAATTTGAAAGTAAAATGTATTTTCAAAGTATGAGAAATTGACTCAAATCAAATGATTGCACTTAAAAAGTCATTTTTAGATTATTCAAATAGTAGAAGTGCCAGGTGGCAGCACAGAAAATTGTTCATTTTGGTGACCAGCTTTCCATGATTTAACCATGTAGCATTATTTCTGGCCAGAGGTGTTCAGTTTCCCATGCCAGTGGTAATGGTTTGTGTGATAGGAAGGTCAAATTTCTTTTCTGTGCCTGCCTTTTTGTGTACTTAAATGATATACCAATACACTGTCTAGTCAGAGTATTGATTTTGCATGTTTGTGCCATCTCTGTTTCTTTCATGCTGTAAGATCATAATTTAGTCAGTGTCCCTTGCTGTCTGTGAAATTAGAGTTAATAGTTTATATCACGCACATGATTAGTAAACAGCTATAGTTTCAAATTACCAGAACTACCGTAATGCTCTAATCACCTTGTTTGCGCCCAATAAATATTTTGTTCTCCGTTTATGCCAGCCTTTGGAGAATAGATCAAAGCATTTCTCTGACAATGAAGTGAAGGCTTAAATTGGCCTTACATTGTCATGGCTTCTCTTTTTATATACAGCTGAAAAATACAAGATCTGTGGCTGTGAATATTTTCTTTCACCTATGTTATATATTGATTTTTGTTCGTTTTATTCTGTTTTGTAGAATGTGCACAGTAAGAGTTTCTAAGTCAGAAAATGATAATAAATATTCTTGCTCTGTAATGTGTGGTATATGAAAGGGTACAATTCAGGAGGAGTCGTGAGGTCAGCACTGGATGAGTGGGCCTCAGACTGTCACTTACGCTTCTCAGTCTATTCTAAAACATTAGGTGTTTTTTTTTAAACAGTTCAAATGTTGTTCTGTGATGAATGTTCGAGTTCGAGAAGTGTTTTTGGGAAGTCCTTCAAAATGTCCTAGAGCAGATTTAGAACATTCGTCATGAAAAAAGAAAAACATTATGTTCTAGGACAGATTGAGAACCGTGAGGGAGTGTTAAATGAGACACGTTTTCGCATTGGTTGTCTTTACATACAACTTTTAAAATAAATGCCAGGAGTGGGATTTTCAAGGACCATGGAATTTTTAAAATCATTGGTATTCATTAGAAACATTATAATGATGTAGAATATAAGTGGCATTTTATGGTATAGAAATGTTTAACGTAGTGGAAGGCACAGATAAGGCATGTCCCTGGAGGATATATAGCTGTATCATGTAAAATGACATTTTGTTTCCAAGGAATAAATGGCTTGTTGCAAAATACCATTTTTGATGCCAGCCAGAGCACTTTAATATTGGGATTGCAAAGTGCAGTTCTTCGGGAAGGGAATTGCAGAGATGGTGTGCATTCATTCTCTTCCATCCAATCAGATGTTGTTGCGAATGTTTTGACCAGCATTTTAATGAGGCAGCCATGAGTGATGTACTTCTGTAACACAACAACTTCAGGTCAAACGTTTCAGTTATCCACTCATGATATTCTTCGATAATTCATAGTGACATTTTTAATTCTCCGAAGTGCACATTGTGCTAGTAATTAAGATGAGAAGAACTTAATCCAAAGGTATATTTACAAACAAGGTTACCAATATTGAGATGATGACACTAAAATCAAGAAATGTTATGTGTAGCTTAAAGATAAAAGGAAATCTATTCAAATTTCCATTAACAACTGTGGAACTAGAAAATAGCGCACATCTAAGAATCTGCCTAAGGCCCTCTTAGCTTTTATTCTCTGTAGTCTGGCTTCACTGCCATTATTTTCTTTCTGGGAGCTTTCTCTTGGAAAATTGCATTTTCGTAAGAAATGGCAAATTCTACTTTATTTGGAAGAACATTCATTACTTGAGTTGATCACGAAGTGCATTTAGGATAAATGGACATTTGAATGATACCTGTAAATTTTTGTACACAATTTTTTTTCTCCAAGTTAGCTCTAGGTAAACTTTCTTGGTCTTCTGTGGTTGCATGATATGAATGTGTTATAGGAAATTTTGGACACAGTCCTGTAAATTTCCTGTGATTTCAACCCAAGATGACTTTTTTCATCCATTTGTAATGGTCACATCATGAGATGGTGTGAAATGCGCGGGACAATATTGGTCCCTAGTGTGTGATTTGCGAGTTGCAGTGGGCATGGAATTGCTACTGCCTTGACGTCATGTCATTGGGACACCTATTAAATAAACTGAGGGTAAAAAAATCTCAAATTACTGTTGCATTGCTTTTGACTATTTCTGTTGTTGCGGACTTAAATTATCAATTTACAGCTGGTTTCGCTGTTTATTGATTCCAGTGTAATTTATCAGGGAGGACATACAGTCATTTCCTGCCCAATCAATGTGAAAATAATGTGTAAAAAATTCAGTGCAAAGCTACCTGTAACTGATAAATAACAGTTTAGGATGACTTGATAGTTATTATACTCATCTTATTTATATGTTTATGCTGTTGTCTAGGGTGATTGTATTGTAGTATTATCTTATTGGACATACTTGTGAGTAGAACTGTTCATTTTGGCCAGTAGATGCTGGTGTATAAGTTGCAGTATATTTTGATGAGAGACATATACCAAAAACAAAAATCTGTTAAAACAAATTAAAATTTCCATCTGTGTATTTCCATCAGTTTCTGTTTATTATTCCCCAGTAATAAGAGAGAGAGATATAGCGTTGGCTGATGTGGCTGTGTTAGCTATCTAATGGATGTGTGCAATCTTGACTCATGTTATGGCCGCCATCAGTCAGTGTAATGAGATGAGCACCCCATGAGGATAGCCTGCATCAGGATGATGATGATGTCCAATTACAATATTGTGGTCCAGCCAGGACATTGACCCTGACCTGTATGCTTGATACTTTGTATCATTGTTATTCTTTTTTGGTAGTCATTTTGGTAAATATAGCACTCCCTTTCCTCCAACTCTAATGGTTAGAGACATCATGTAGAATTCTGCATTTTGGTTGGAAGTGAAAATACAGAGAGCTTTTAAAGGGCCTTAATTAAAAGTGAAGTGTTCTTGAACATGTTGGTATGGCTATAATCTGTCTCTTTTCCTGTGAGAATTGCCATTCAACACTGTGAGCTGATGTTTGTGTCAATATTGGTCAAGCAAGAAGAGTTCATTGACAGATAATGCTCTGAATAAGAAATGACAGCAGTGAGTTTTAAGAGTCTCCACTTTTTGTGAAGATGGTGGTGGTTGTGATGATAATGGGCAGTCTAGGGAATTTTTTTCTTTCTTTTCTTGGGCTTAATGTTAAATTGAGACATTATATCTGGTTTTTACCAACATCTTCCTCATAAAGACATTTTCTTTTGTGAAAAATTATGAAACCTCTTGTGTCCCCTTTCGCTCTTTAGAAAATGCCAAGTAAAACACAATAGGAATCCGGTCGTCTAGCGTATCAGTTTAAATAATCAAAGGAATCTGTGGCATCAGCATCATATTGTACATGTTCTAACCACCTGAGCACCTTACAGATATGGTGTTAAACAGAAAATTTCTTTAGATAATAAATTTGAAAAAAAAAATAGATAAAATAGGGGAATATCTTGTTATTAATTTGAAATCAGTTGTGAATGCATGTTAATAAGTGATGTCTGAAGTTGATAAATGAGATAATTAAAGGTGTGCAATTATCTCAACATGCATGTGGTTACTTGTGGCCCCACAGAGAATGTGGGATAACTTCATGAAAAAATTGCATTTGTCATTTCATCTACTCTTTACTCTTCAGTACTTTTAGCTGTGCAGAATGTACTTTTTATTTTATGAGTTTTTTCTATTTTAGACAGCACTCAACCTGTTTTATGTCATAAAGCATTATGAGCAGGCAATGTGCTAGAACCATATTGCTGATGAAGCATCCATAAAATGACGGGAAAACACTATCAGGCTCACAAAATTGCCTTGAATTCGTACTGATTTACATGTATGGTGTAGGGGTTTTCCTTACTTTAGTCCTACTTATAATCCCTATAGAATACTACTCATCCATTTGCAAGGCCTGCTTCCTGTATTATTGGCTTTTTACTGATCACTTTTCAGTCTGGATTGGATGATTAAGTAAAATGGCTTACCTATAAACTTAATGAAGCTTGGAGAATGAATCAGCCCTTGGTGCCTGTTGAGGTAGTGATGTGTGTGCGTTGGGGGGGGGGGGGGGCT